CGAAAGGTCACGCGGAAGAGTTACACAACCCACTTCGTAGTGGATTGCTGATGCGCTTTTGCATAATCAGTCCTGTAAGAGCTTAGCAAGTTTAGGTTAGCAGTTATGCCAATTTTTCAATACTTTGATCCAGGACGCGTTCCTTACCGAAATCACTACGGATCTACCTCTCGTTGTCATCAAAATGGTGATGTCAATTAAATTCTGTCTTAAATCGCCCAAGCTTTTATGCTGCATTATGCGCTGACCACTACTGTTGATCAATACACGTTTGGTCAGCATAATGAATAAAAGTGCCAGCTGCACAGTTGGAAAATAGTGCTAAGAATTTCATCTTATCAAAGTAAGTTTAGTTCCCTCTAAAAGTCTCTCTCTGACAGTTCCACTTCTCATTTTGTGGATTTTGAAAACACGACTTTATTTCTCTCACTGTGGAAGGATGAGGAATGAGGGAGTAATCGAATTTTTAGCAAGCACAGCCAACATACAGATAATTAGAGCGTGTCGGTATATACTTGTCATGCCGCAACCTTCAGATTGGTTTTGGCACTGTCAGTCTGAAAACACCACTGCTTCCATTTACCAGGATAGCGATGTTCTCAAACTGATAGTGCTACAAACTATCTGAGGGTTGTGATATGATAAGTGTGTGCCGTAAAGCTGTGCAGTTATCTTTTTGCATTAATGTTACTTTGCTTAAACCTATCAGTAAACTTCCTTTAAACAATATTTGATCGTCCGATATTTCGCCTGTAATACTTTTTTCCAGAGGCTTTGATAGCCTATTTTTTTTTTTTTCAAGTGCTAAACAATCATTCAGTGGTAAATTGGTACTACCATATGCCAGGCAGTCAAACTCGCTTTGAACTTGCTCCTAAACAACCACTGAAAAAGAAAATCGTTGGAATCATTGCCAGAAGGTGTTATTAGCATGCCTTCATCACTCATAAAGGGCAACTGTGGTAGGAGGTTTTTATTTTTTGTTTCTGACTAAATAATCAATTTGGTCAAATTCGCAGGCAAATAAATGGTGTCGGCGAGGTGTACAGTTGCTGACGACTGTACCTTACGATGTTTCGCCTAGTGCAGCTGCAAACGCACTCACCACTATTGATCAGTACATTGCGGAGGGACAGTCCTTGAAGGTCAACTATTTTTGTTTTTTTGTTACATAAGTCATAAATTGCAAAGATTTTTAGGAATTAGGGCCAGGGAAACTGAAATCCTCTGCTAATTCCCAAACAAGCAAAGACTTTTCTGTGGGAATTTTGAAATGTTATGGGTTAACTGATAAGACTGATAAAAATTTGAGTGAAGACTTAAATATTCAAATTTCATTGACATTCTTTTTATTACCCTCGCATCAAGCTAGACAATCCCTCAATCGCTAGAAATTTTTGCGTTTTTCTCAGTTTATTGTTTTGTGAACCAGAAATTGTCTAAACAACAGAGGGAAAAACTCATAGACCATCAGGACATGGGATTCAAAAGATTCACTAGTCGCTACGTTCTGGAAATAAAGGAAGGGATCCAGATTCCAGTGCTAATCGCTAGAATGCGCTGGAAGAACACCATCCAGAAAAGGTATGTTTGTTTACGCCGAAATTAGAGAGTTCCTTCATTGTTGGTAGCAGCAGCGGCAGAAATCTTCGCCTGTTCTGCACACTTTTTGTACTGTAGACATCATCTATACGCCATCCGCATATTATCTATATTCTACAGTTTTAGTGTAAACGAGAAATCTTGCTATAATTATATTACTTTAAGGATTCTCCTGGAGAAAAACCTGCTAAAAAAGTCTGCGTTCACTTCTACTAAAGAATAAGAACCAATAAATTTGCATAAATTTTTCATAAGGAACGTAAAATTTCAGCTGGATGCATATAGTCAGCAGCCAGATTTGAGCAAACTCATACTGCTCACCACGACCGAAACATCCACATTGCTTGCCCAGGTAAAATTACGTGCAGAGCTCTCTGATATGTGCCAAGGCATCAAATCCGCTGCTGGCTTGCTTCTAGGCAACATTCGAAAGAGAGAGCCATCGACAGCCTTGCCACTGGGTAGTTGCTATCAGGCAGATTACTTCTGAATGTTTCGCCTCAAAAAGAGAGTGGAAAGGAGGGGTTTGGACTCTGACAAAGCTCCTACTGCTTGGCCTGCAAAAAGTTAACACACATGCATATAGTAGAGGCTGTGGGTATGAAGTGGGAAGCAGTTCGGAACAGAAGTGCTTGGCCTAGCTACTCCCGGCGTATGCTTGTATTCATACTAGTACCAAAAGCTTCACATTAAGATAGGCAATCCTCATAATATTTCAGATTTGTCGCGGGTTTAAATTAAGGTTTATTGAGTTGTGATTCCGCTTTTCCCTTAGTGTAGGCGTTTTTGGACTTAGTGAGCTTTCTCCCCGAAAAAAATATAATCAGATGTTTTTCTCATTCAAGCACCTCGCTCTGTATACGTAGTTGTCGCCTTCTGTGCGCGACTGTGAGGTCAGATGGTCACCGATAAAAACAGCCGCTCCCTCAAAATTTATTGAAGAGCGGTAAAAAAAATCTGCTTCATAATCACGTGAAAGAATACCTCAAACGGAAATTCATTCACTGTCAACGATGGGTAAAATTCCGTTTGAGGTAGTCTTTCACGTGATTATGAGAGAGGCAGATTTATCGTTCTGTACTGTACTCCTGTCACTTCAAATTACCGCAAAACATATTGACAGATGATCGACTATTATGGTTCAGACAAAATATAGCAAAA